GATGTCTTACTGTATAATTTTTGCGTTTTCTGTCTGGACTCCAAAATGTTAGTTTATGCTATGAAAATGATAAAACAATAGTGAACGATTTTTTAGCAAACCATCATGAATTTTTAAAGCTTGACGTTGTTAACGTATAAATGTTTTGTGGACTGTGTAGTTACAATTATTTATTTATATATTTGTCAACGGATTTACACATATTTTACAGTTTGATTAGGCCTAAAAACGATTATCATAAAATTTAATGACACTATCAAAACTTTCAAATAATTATTTTGTTTGTAATTTGCTTTGGTTAAAGCGCAGCAAATCCCCTAATTCAATTCTGTATTTGTGTGTGTATGTCTGTTGGTAACGCATTAATGTCCTTATTTCTCAGTGTTTCGTGGAAAAGACAAGAGCACTTTTGTTAATGAAAATTTCAACCCGAATAAAGTTTGCAGTAGTGAGGTTGATTTTAACTACTTTTAACCAATGTGAAAAGTAACTTTTCAATTACAGGCCTACCTTAGGGCTATGCCTCATAAATCTATAAAGCAATTTCTTTTATCATTAGATATAAAATAAGGACTAACACTATCGGGTGACATTAAATTGCGAAGCATTCGTTTTGGCTTTGAACCTGTCAGATATTGTATTTGCGAAGGTTTATATGTATTCCTGTACAGTAATAGTTTTGCCAGTATATCTGGAATAATGCACACTGAATATGCAAACCAACTCCTGTTCTGAATATTAGGTTTCAACTTAACTACAAGATTCCCGTACGTAGAACGGGCAAACAGCTAGTTATATATAAACCTAGTTCTATTTTTTTCTGGCAAATGAATATTTTTTCACTTCTATATTTTGAGGTGAATCACGATCACGTGCCTAAAATTTTGAAGGTCGAGTGGCTTGTCATCCCATTACTGGAATCTTAGAAATTCGAACGGATTAGCGGAGCTTGTTTTTGCATTGTTCACTCATATCCCCTTTACCTTTCCCAGTACTAACATGTTTCTCAATCTGCTTGAATTCAACAATAGGTCAAATACTTTGTTATAAACGGACCAAACAACATGCTACAATAGGTATTTCCATAAGCTTTTCCAGTATTAGCTATTGATGCCATTTTCCTGAATTAACAATAAGGCTACCGGAAGAGAGAAATAATTCAGTTATTTTCAATGTTCGTATCGTAAATTATTGAGCGAAGCGAGCGTAGCTCTTTGCGATCAACTTCAATGCAAACAATAAAGCAACATCACTCAATAACAGCAGAACACATTTCAGCCAAACTTAACAAGATTACTTAGACTAATAGTAAGATGGTTAATAAACAAACAAATTCCAATTAGATAATGCTAATGCAATTTAAAACGAACTTAAAATTTCCAATTTTTAATATAAGGCTTATGGGACTAAAGTAGCCATGACAGTTTTATGAATTAACAAGAAAAATGTAAAGAAGAGAGTCATAAGGTATTTCTGAACTTGCTAGACTTTTCTTGTAAACGTTTTTAAACCATTCCTACAATTTTAATAAACAAGAAAATACCGTTAAAACTTTTTTCAAGGCGCGGAATTCACTGCAAATTGCGAAAATATACGGAACTACATTCTCAATGCGTGGAGCATATCGCACCTCAATAAACAAGGAGCGGAGTGATATGGACCGGTGACTACTTTCTTGGGCACCTATTTGTATTGCCAGCTGATTAGAAATAAGGATTTAATAAGCGATATATCGAACTGCATCGAAATCGATATTTAATCCGATAATACCTCACAGGTTATACGTTGAACTACATCGACGAGACAGTAAGTTATTACACTTATAAATAAAACGCAGATTGAACACTGATCTAATTTAGGCATGTGGGGAAGGTAGGTCGGGGTTTATGAGTATTCGTGACTACATTAAGTGTTTTGAAGTAAGGTTGTATTAAGAAAGTAAAGTGTAGGTTATAGGTAGGTGATCGGTTTTTTATTTGTGTTGCACCATATTATTTTTCATCTTTTGGAATAGTTGGTTAAACGGGGAAACGATTTCAAAAATGCTTGCATATGGTCTTGGTCTTAACAAACCATTAAATACAGACCAAAAGAAAAGAACATTTGGATTTGGACCTTTGACCATAGCAAAACTCTAACATATAATTTATGAAATGTGAAAAGTTGTATATCATTAAATATAGTATTCTGTAATATTAATAATTCTTCGGCAAATCCTCATTTTAATGGCTCGGCTGAAAATGGAATTTGCATTTTGTGAAACAGTAATTTGGTAACAATTCAGAAGAAATATGATCTTTAATCAACTCAACCACATCATCACCTAGTTTTCTAGGTCTGTTTGCATGTGTTCCCCTGTTGTCTTTAGGAGACATGCCTGTCATTTTTAGTGATGTTTGAATTACTTGGAGTTTCTTTTTCCCTATTCCAAACATGCTTAAAAAGGCTTTATAGCAAACCGGGACTTCGGTTGCACAGCCATCCCTAACAACACGTACCTTGTATGCATATGTAGCATCATGTCTTTTAGCTTCTTCTTCAGGTTTACGAGACCGTCGTCTGGATACTGGAACCAAACTAATAAGGCCTGCCAGGAATGAGTTTTGTTCATTAACACTTTGGAGTTTATTAAAATGTGAAATATTTACAGATCGTTCTTCTGCTGTCACCTCTGAAAAACACTTTAACCTAGTACAACAACAGTCTGGGCCTAGCTCATGTGACTGTAGGCGCATTTTCTTCATTACATCAGTAACACGCCCATGAATCTTTCGTTTCCTAGTCTTAGTACTAGATTTAGTTTCCTCTGTTTCCGTGTCACTGTCACTGCACGATAACATTGTTAAAACACAAACTAATGTTGCACAACTATAACACACAACAAGGTACAAGCACTATTTAAGGTTATGTTGGATGATGCAATAACTCTAAGCTGTGTATCAGCTGAATAACAGTAGTGGGGGAGTCTTGGACATTCCCCCTTTTTTCCTTTTACAATGGACAGTCCTCCTTTTTCTCCTGTTTGCTAATACTTTAATGTGTTATATCTTTGGACATTGAACCTTTTTGCCATTGATAGTTATACCATTAAATGTACAATCTTTTGAAGAATCCAAAAACATTGAAACCCAAAAAAAAATATTTTTGGACATTCCCCCTTTTTATCCTGTGGTCTTCAGTTAGTTTTTTTGCCACCCTCGTGGTTATTTGGATTTGAAACGTTTTAGGGCGCCATTTTGTTATTAGTGAGCCGATTTTGGTTTTCTTTATGTCAATGTTTATGTTTCGTCAAGACCTGTAAAATGATGCCAAACTCGACTATACCTGTCATTTGAAAATTTTGAGCTACCCCCTACCCCCGCTACCCCTGAGGGCAAAATTTTTAAAATTGACCATAATTATTGTAGCCCCTCATATCTAAGAAGGTTGCCGCAAACAGATTTCAAATATCTCAAATGGTTGAAAAGTTAAGGGGGGGTGCAAGTTACTTTTCAGCCACCCTGTATATAAACATATATAAAAATTTTAAGGAATGGTGTTTTTGGCCTCTGGGGACATCAAAATGAAAAAGTACATCGGTCCTGGGCCGAAATCTTACCATGCATCCCACGGTAACAGCTACTTCCCTATAGGGAAATTCGCTAATAAAAAATTACCGCCATTCTGTAATGGGTTAAGATAAGAGGACCTGTAATGGACCTCTGGTTTTTTCCAATATTCTTTTACACTAATGGTCTTAAAAACAATGTGCTATTTGATAGGGGTTGCTATTTAAAAAGTTGAAGTTACGCCCAGCAACCCTTATTTGGGGGTGGGGGTGAATTTCAAAATACCCCTAAAAGTACTTTACTTTACCCTAGAACGTGTATTGAAGCTCGTTTGAATATATGGATCCGTTCAAAAACTAGCCAGGCAGGGACTATTATGGGACACCCGGTTCATAAGGATTACTAGGGTAATCATGCAAATTACAATCCCACTAATATATTTAAGGCATTTTGTTTAGTTTTTAAGTACTCAAAGTTGATTAGTTCCAAATACTCGTGTTTTAGTAGAGTTGTTCCAAGTAGGCCTACTCGGTTTTTAACGGGGCGAGTAGTTGAGCTCATAAAAGTATTATTTGTATAGTTTGTCTTTTGTTTATTGTTAGGGCAATTATGCAATCTTACGCCCATTTACCATTTTATCTTGGGAACAATAGATTTATGATGGCTTTGTAATTTCCTCTTCTGACCTGTACAGTACATTACCTATAAAAATGATATTAAGAATCCTAATTAAAATTTTAATGGTTTTTAAAAATACTTTTTGTTTCCAGAAAAGGGCAACCTGCTCATCTCAGACCATCCAGTAAGTAAAATATAGATAAAACATACTAACTTACCTAACTATAAATAATTCTACAACTAATATTATAAATGAGAAAGTTTCTGTGTTTCTAAGTTTGTTTGTTTGGGGCTCAATCACGCATGCATGAACAGATTAGGCTGAAATTAAATTTGGCATGATGATAGTTCACATTCCCGATTAACATATAAATAAGAATATGCCTTTATTTCAAAAATTCTTTCAGGCTCTACCCCAGTGGCTCTGGCATTTCTCACGTTAACCTTATCAGTATTCATATTTCAAAACAACTAGTCGCTATACCTGTTAGAACTCATGTAAAATAAAAAAACTTTTACAAATATTATATAATAAAGAACTGATTTAATGCTGATAAACAACAAATATTTAAAACATTTCTCTATGACAGAATTGTTATATTCTTGATCACTTTAAATTCTTACAACAACTCTTAATTGTTTAAATAAATTACAACATAAAACATCTGTTCATAAAAACAAAGACTAACAAATTATTATATTTGGTGTTGATTAATTAATATTGAATTTGTACTATATAAAAAAATAACTCAATTTCCAACATCCTCCCCACCTTGGAATTTGGCTTTACGTCATCAAAATTTCAAACAAAATTATTTACATGTTTATTTTGGTTTACAAGTCCATTTTCCTCGAGATTTTTATCTTTCTCCCTCTTCTTGGTTCTGTAGGTGTTGATGAATTATCTTCTGTTTCAATATGTACATCCTGTTTCCTTGACATGTCTTTTGAATTTATTTCTATGGGGTAAAGTCTCTGGATGGGTCTTGTTAGTTCTCCTTTTGCTGTTTTTAACTTGGCTACTCTGCAGACTCCATCCTTTCCTCGTATTGTCTCCAACACTAGTGCCAGTGGCCAATTTATTCTTTTGATATTATCGTCACCTATTAGTACAATATCACCGGTACTTATTGTTCTGCTTCCTTTACCACTGTTTTCTTTTGACCTATGTACTAACATCGCAAGGTATTCTTTCTTAAATCTTGATCTCAAATTTTGTCTTAAGCTTTGAAGATACCTCACTCGCTTGTTTAGAGTGGTTGAGTCGACAATGTCCAAATCATGAATGTCACTCTTAACAATTGGTTGTAGAAATACTGAAGGTGTGAGAGGCTGTAGAGTGTCATAGTCATCACTCATATAGGTCAAAGGCCTTGAGTTGATGGTAGATTCCAAGTCACATAGAAGAGTCATTCAGTCTTCATAATCTACTTTTGCCAATCTTAGATTTCTCCTCACCAGTTCCTTGACCATTCTCACAAGTCGTTCCCACATACCTTCCCACCATGGGGCACTTGGAGGATTGAATTTCCAGGTTATTTGATGGATCTCGAATTTCCGAGAAATGGTTTTCCAATCCAACCGCTTAAGGATATTATTTGTACAGACAAAATTGGTCCCATTGTCTGTGTAAATTAGTGAAATCCGTCTTCTTCTGGATATAAACCGTCGTAAAGCAGATATGAAGGATTCCGTTGAAAGAGACTGTACCAGCTCTAAGTGCACAGTGGAACGTTTGGGGTGCAATGACTTGAAATAAAAACACCATTTGTGGAATTAAATAAAACCCGGCCGACTACATGGTTACGGTTTGCTGGAATCTTGAGGACTGGTCAGCAAGGAAACTTTTGGAACGGCGGTTAAACGTGGAGGGAATAGTGGCGTGATGGGTTGTAGCCAATCCGGGAGCTTTATTGAAATCGTACGATATGACGTCACAGTCGCCTGATCGCAGTCAGGACACAAATGCAAAACATATTGCCAACTCTTTATAACAGAAATCTAAATATCGTAAAAATGGCAAAATTATGGTACATTATTATTGTATACACTACATTTCCTCCCCTTTAAGTTTAAAATATTTTTTTCTTTAAATACGCAATTTTATCAACACATCAAACCAATTAAATAATCATTAAATAGCCTAAAACAAAAACACTTTTATAAAACAATATTGTATGACTCAATCAAATAATACAAAACAATAAACATTAAAACAAGCAACCTTGATAAAATTGGAAACAAAACACAGAAATAAATATTTACAAATTCAACCTTTCAGGAGGTTTTATTTCTCTGGCAGATCGTCTCAATGGCGATGCTTGTTTGGGTCGATCAGCTGATCGTACAGGTGATGTAAAGGTCACGTCCGGTGGAGTAAGCGATGAGCGCATACTACTACGTTTACTACGTCCTGGAGTACGAGGTGTACTCGGCATTTCCGGTCTCATGGGTGAAGCTCGACCAGCTGACTGAGCATTGTTACCAACATCCTGGTCAAACATATGTTCAGCTGGAGGCAACACTACCTCTCTAGTAATATCATTCTGTTGATCATTCAAATTTACCTTAGTGTTTAACCCGACCAGCTGGTCAATATGGCGTTTCCATACAATACCTGAGTCTAATTTTACTAAATAAGATACAGGACTTAACATTTTAATCACTACACCTTGTGTCCATTTATTTCTTCCCCTGTAATCACGGACTAAAACAGGCTGTCCTATTGACAGTTCTCTAGTTTGACTGCCCCCTTTGTTTACAATTTGTTTGTTTTGGTTTGACAAAACCGTTTTACTAACAGAAGGACGTATCAAATCTAATGTAGTTCGCAATACTCTACCGAACATTAGTTTGGCTGGAGTTTCATTGGTTGTATTATGTACTGCATTTCGATATGCCAACAAAAATCTACTTAAAGCTAAGTCTGGATTTTGATTTGAAAACAAAGCCCCTCTTATTCTTTTCTTTACTGTTTTTACAGCATTTTCCGCCTGGCCATTACTAGCGGGAAAGTAAGGTGGTGTAAGCGTGTGCCTAACCCCATTAGCTTTAAGAAACTTGCTAAATTCACAGGATATAAAAGGAGGGCCATTGTCTGTGACACACTGTTCCGGAATTCCAAACCTTGCAAACATAGGTCTCAATTTATTTATGACTACTTTGGCAGATGTGGAACTGACCTCCTCTACTTCTATCCATTTACTATAAGCATCAACTACAACCATATACAACTTTGAATTAATAGGGCCTAAAAAATCTATGTGTAATCGTTGCCACGCTGACTTTGGGTATTCCCATACATGTAAATATGACCTTGACGGGCTTTGACGTTCCATGAGACATTGCGAGCAACTATTGGCAAGTTCTTCTATGTCTTTATCTATTGAAGGCCACCATAGATAAGAACGGGCTAGAGCCTTCATTTTGACTATCCCTAAATGTCCACAATGTAATTCTTGTAACAGTCCCCTTTTATACATTTTTGGAATGACAACCCGATAACCCCACATTAATATGCCATGCTCAATAGTTAGTTCGCTCCGCCTTATGAAATAAGGTCGTAATTCCTCGTTTACCTCATTAGGCCAGCCATACAAGACATAGCCAAATACCTTACTTAACTCGGTGTCTTTTTGTGTTTCCCTCTTAATATCAACAAAACTAATTGGAATATCTCCCTCCGCTAAAAATTGCAAATAGGTTCCTACATAAGGATTTTCCTCATACTGATCGTTAACATGTTTGGCTTGCAAAGGTAAGCGAGATAAACAATCTGCAGAAGCATTTCCCTGAGAGGAAACATATTGTATGTCAAAATCATAGCTGGCTAAAAATAAAGCATACCTCTGTAATCTGCTAGCGGCAAAAGCCGGAAGTCCCTTTTTAGGGCCAAAAATTGACAACAATGGTTTGTGGTCTGTTACTAGTGTGAATTTTCTACCAAACAAATACTGATTAAATCTTTTAACAGCAAACACAATAGCTAAAGCTTCTTTGTCTATTACAGAGTAGTTTGATTCGGCTTTAGACAATGTCCTTGACGCAAAACAAATAGGTTTTTCAGATCCATCTGATTGCATTTGACTTAACACACTTCCGACCCCGTAGGCAGAACTATCAGTAGCTAACCTCAAGGGTAAATTTGGGTCATAATGCGCCAAAATAGGAGCTGAAACTAATTTGCTCTTAATTAATTGAAACGCTTTGTCACATGATGAATTCCATTCAAATGGAGTGTCCTTTCTGAGTAAATGATACAGTGGGGATACAATGGTAGACATACTTGGCACAAATTTAGAATAATAATTGACTAAACCTAGAAAAGCTTTTAACTGAGTTACATTGGTAGGCACTGGGGCGTTTACAATAGCTTCAATTTTACTAGGAGATGTGCCTAGTCCTTGTTTACTTAATATGTACCCTAAATACTCAACAGATTTACAGAAAAACTGACATTTATTTTGACTTACTGTTAAACCATGATTCTTTAAAGTTTCACACACTTGAATCAACCTCTCTAGGTGCTGTTTGTCATCAGTTCCTGTTACCAAAATATCGTCTAGGAAGCAAACAACGCCGGGAATGTGAGCTAAAATGCGTTCCATTATACTCTGAAATATTCCCGGGGCGGATGCTACACCATATGGAACTCGGTTGTAAATATACAATCCTTTCGATGTACTTATTGTACAATACTTCTTTGATTCCTCGTCTAACTTTACCTGAGTGTAAGCCTGAGAAAGATCGATTTTTGAAAACGTCTCCCCTTTTTGTAAATTATTAAAAATGTCCTCAATCCTTGGAATTGGGTGGCGATTGACTACTAAATAGGGGTTGAGCGTTACTTTAAAATCGCCACATATTCTTATACTTCCGTCCTTTTTCAAAATAGGCACAATTGGAGTTCCCCATTCACTATTGCTAACTTGAGTTAAAATCCCATTATTTACTAATCGATCAATCTCAGACTCCACATTACTTTTGATCGAAAATGGTATAGGTCTGGGTTTGAAAAACTTAGGAATTACATTTTCCTTCAACTCTAATCTAGCTGCATCTCCCTTGTAACAACCTAACACATCAGTAAATACCTCAGGAAATTTACTGTACAGTTTACTGACAATTACAGGTTTTTGATCTAGCTTTTCAACCGTGTTCAAACTATTTTGTTTAGGGATTCGGATCGATATTTCTAGTTCCCTAATCCAGTCTCTTCCCATTAGAGGATTAGCCCCTTTAGACACAACATACAAAGTTAACTTTTTATGCTCAGATTCATGCTGTACATTTACGTTAAGTTTTCCTACAGGTTTTATTGGCTGGTTTGTATATGAGCTCAAAACTAAATTAGTGGGCATTAATTCGAGATCAGAGAATATATCGTTATAACACTTTTCAGAAATTACTGACACGCATGCTCCACTGTCAACCTCAAATGGCAATACAGTATGTTCTACTTTAAGATTAACCGTGATAGGTTTTATTCTATCCCTCTGTTTACTTTCCTCATCATTTATGGAAAATAAATTAGCTAAATCACTATAATCATCGTCATTGTCATTGACACCTGTGTTCTCTACATAGTTTTGCTTATACTTATGAGACTTGTTACCAGAGGTAAACTTAGGTGTAAAGTTCTTTTGTCCATCCTTACGCTTATCATTAAATGCAAATTTAGATTGTGACTCACCATTGTTTTTCTTCATCAGACACGCACTTTCTAAATGGCCTTTCCTCTTACAAAAATTGCAAGATAAACTTTTAAAACGGCACTCACTTTTTAAATGACCAGATTTACCACAACAATAGCACTTTACTTCACTTTTTGAGCGCTGCCACGGCTTCCGCTGCTGCTGCTGCTGCTTCGAAGCGACGTTGTGGAGACGACTTCCTCCCCCCGTGTTGTGGTAGGTCAGGGCCGCGGTGTCTCTAGCTGCCAACTCCATCGATGTGGCTATTTGGACCGTCTTCTCGAAGGTGAGATCTTCTTCGCCCAGCAACCTCTTCTTGGTGGCGTCGTCCCTCAACCCACTTACGATCCTGTCCCGAAGATGATCCGGTAGTTTGTCCTTAAACTCGCAGTTGACAGAGAGTTTCTTCAGGTTGACGATGTAATCAGCGACTGATTCATGCTCTAATTGTGTTCGTAGACTAAACTTGTACCTTTCGGCAATAAAAGAAGGTTTTGGATGTAGATGTCCCTTAATGATCCGTACAATATCCTCGTAGCTCTTAGTAGCAGGTTTGTCTGGTGTACATAGGTCTTTAAGCAGGTTATAAGTTTTCACTCCGACAACCGTCAAAAGCGTACTAACCTTTTTAGCGTTGGTAATATCGTTACATGTAACAAACAATTCAAAACGCTCGATATATGAGTCCCACGTTTCTTCCGAATTATCAAAAGGACCGAT